ATTACAATAAATTAAGTGTTTAAAAAAATTAAAACAAACTAGGTATAACCGTATGTAGTTTTTATTTAAATCGATGTAAAAAAATTGATGCATTTTTATTTTTAAATACGTGCATATGTCCGGCTCTATTTACTTTAATATTTAGAGTTTTTGTACGAAACTCAAATTACTTGTTTTTAAATTTTTAAGTGAATGAAGCAATGTCAATAGTCACAGACAAATTTGTTTTAATAGATAAAAAATAGCAATTCGATTAATTTTTATTTTTATAGGTAATAGTTTATGCCAGTGTTTCTAAATTTTTTTTACTTAAGTGACCTTTATATTCCTAAACACTTTAATGTTAAAACTTACTTAACCGTTTCTGCTCATTGTTTTCTTCAACAGATTTTCGAATAATTGAATTGAAAAAATATAACAAATCTTCTTAAAAAGCCTGCATGAAGAATTTATAAAACTTAAGTGTCATAAAATATTTGTAAAAAATAAATTTATGATTATAGAATGTAGTGTACGTAGTAAACTTTGTCTTTAGTGTAAAGGAAGAGAATTCTCAACTGAAACATTATTTGATTTATACTGTAAATTATTCAAATATATTATTATTGTTCAAGTATACTTTAAATCATACAATTTTTAAATAATTAGAAAATAGTTGTTTTTTTCTAATGGTAATTCAAGAATGAAAATAAGTTTTTAAAACATGATTTCGAGTGGTAAAGCACAAATTGAAAAAATCCCAGCTTAGATGTAAAATCTGCATAATAAATTAAATAATATAGCTAATATGCAATTGCATAATGTAAGAGTGATTCAAAATTTTCATATACCCACTCATGTTTTATCATATATGCAACAAAATAATGTCAGCATTCATAAGAAAATATTATCATAAGTTAAAGAAAACCATCTCGTATGACTTACTTAAAAAATGCTTACATTCACTTACGTAATTTGTTAGAAGTGTTATAACTTATTAGAATTTTATGAGCCCATAAAAGTCAAATGTAGCAAATAAAATATATTGCAAAGTATAACTTATTAAAAAAAGTCTCAGTTTTAATATATGAATAGAGCTTTTCTTTCATTCAAGCATTCTCAGACATTGTTCTCATGGATCGATTGCATTTATGATATGATTGATTGATTTGATTGTAAGACAAAATGATTCTACTAATGTAGTAGATCATGAATGGAATATGGTAATTACATAAATTTTACTGTGAAAGATTTTAGATAAATTTACTTCAATTCAGTTTACTTCAAAAATTAAAAAAATCGAATCAATCAATGTTTATATATCCTTACGACCTTGTCTGAACATTTTGGCATACCTTAGACAATGTTTGTATGTGTTGGTGTGTGGGTGTTTGGGTGTGCGTGTGTGCGTGTGCGTGTGCGGATACATATTTTTCTTGTTTCGATATTTCGTCTCCATGCAGCTAAAGCAGTGCGATTTCTTTAAAAAAAATGTTCAAAAATTCCTAAACAATTTTTTCCAAGTTTTTTTTTCCAAAAAAATCAATTTTTTCCAAAAATTTAATATTTCTCAAAAATCTGATTTTTTCAAAGTTTAGAGTAAAATTAATCTTAAGGCACGATGCCATTCACCACTAGTTACCACTTATTTTGGTTCCGTATACATTAAATATTTTATGTTAATGAGAAATTTGTATCTAGTTTTTATAGAAGTCTGTCTTATTTACTCAAGAGAGGTCTTATGTTTAAAACAGATTTTAATGTTATAATTTAATGTTGACATATATTATTTTTCAAAATATATAATAAATTAAATTTTAAATCTGTATGTACATGAAATTAAAAAAATATATATTAAGTTAGATGTTTCTATATTAGTTTTGTAATTGTTAATAAATTATAATTTAAATGAAACAAATCAGAAAATATTCAATATCATGAGCTTGCATTAGAAGAGAGTCACGTGCATATTATATATATATATATATATATATATATATATATATATACATATATGTAAAATTTATAAGGTATCATATTTAATCATCAAACCGACAGAGTCAACACTTTGATTTTGCTAGCACTAGCATTCCTCAATGACAAAATTAATCAATTTTGCCTGGGCATCTATTCAATTTAAAAAAAAAATATTTAAAAATGTATGATAAACAATAATTGCTGAAGAATTGCAGAGTGCATAATAAAAATATTGTGGACATTTTTCAATTGCAAGGTCAATTTTCTGTTCAAACACTTTTTAATAATGTATAGTAAAAATAAAAAGGAATGTTAGTCGAACTAATTATTTTGTAGTATTCAAAAATTGTTTGTTCAAACAAAATGCATACAATATCAAAATGTATAGCATCGACTTACACGCAATATGCATAATGCATTCAACATTAACATTTCAATTTATGCGATTTGAATGAGTAACAAATAATATTCATTTTATTCTACATATTAATCGAGTCATTCTCATGTATCACACACAATTATTAAATCAATGGGATGATGATTTTTTTTATTGATTTAATTATAATAAACGATATAAGATATAAAACCATTAAATTGATGTATCCCATTTAAATAATTCTACAGTGCTTCATTGATACATAATCTTATATTACTTGCATTTAGATTTGACATGTAACATTTAATTTAATTTTAAAGAAATTGATAGATAAAAGCTATGGTATTGGTATCCATCAATCTAAAAACTTAACTTAGACGTATAGGTTTTCATTACGCTTAATATGACCAAGATAGTTATGAAATTTTGACGTGACGAGTATATAATAATAATAATTATTATTATATATATATATATATATATATAATTTATGAAAAAATCTGAAATATTTATTGAGATATTTTTGCGTAAACCGTTATAATAGAAACATAAGTTTTCAAAAAATTTAATGAATTTTTTAGTGAAAATTGTATTCACACTTCACACAACGATATTGTGCTTTGACAATTATAGTTATAATTTAATTTTTCAAATTTATAAATTTGTCACTTCATTGCATCTAGTCATCGAAAATATAAAATCAAAAATCTTTGATCGTTATATCGATGATTTGAAAATCAAAACAAAAAATCGTTAAAAATATCGATAAATAATTTGTGGTATAACAAAAAAAAAATTATTTATTTGAAGACTAAAATTGTTCTTTAAAGAACAGAAATGAACCCTAAGGTTATAATGGAAAATACGTCAGTGGCTGAAAAGAATTCATACGGAAAGGAAAAAGAAATTTTAGAAGTGCTTTTTGACTATGATTCTGAAGAGGATGAATGCCAGAAAATGGTATCATTTACCTATAGGCAAACTGCTTCAACTCTAACCCTTTTAATAAGATTGAACCGGCCAATGGCAAAAGACGTGTCAGTAATTGCGGAGGCTGAAGACCAGCTATGCCATTTAAAGTTTCACTTGGGTGAATATATTTATGTTTCCACGTTGAAATTTCCTGGATCATTTCAGCCAGGTCAAGTGCCAACAAAAATGAGTAATTCGCGAATGTTCTGGGTGTACCTGAAGAAGGCAGAAAATGCGTATTGGCCCGATATGCTGTTCAAGGCTTGACCACAGATAATTACATTTGAATTATGTAGAAATATGTAACTTATACTCTGTTTGAATTCTACGATATACTCTGCTTTATGTTGTATTTGTAATATATGACATAGAACTTATATATCTTTTTATATTCATTTTACGGTAAGATATGATTTTCACATATATATCAACAAATCAATGATTTTATAATTGAACCAGTTTCCGTAGGACCGTAATGGTTTAGTATGTTCTTTAAGACAAAGTACTCTATCATTATACCAAATAAATCGTCTACTTTTAATTTTAACAAACTACTCATTATCTCAAACTTGATGAGTTTTCAAAATTAAACTACTTGTCGTAAGGTCGTAATATTTTAGTAAGTTTTATGAGACCATAATAAAAATCGCCAAAAAAAGTTCCATAAAAATCGGCTTAATTTTTTTTTTCAACAGTTAATTACAAAGAAACGGCTCGGCTGATCCTCGCACAAAACTGAGAAACAATATTCCTCATCGAGATGGCTTTTAAATTTCTGAAATCGGTTCAAGCGTTTTTGAACAAACGTCGATAAAATTTAATTTTAACAATACAAAAAAACGATACCAATTTTTGCAAACTTTGACGAATTTTAAAGTTAAACGAGTTGTCGTAGGGCCGTAATATTTTAGTGTAATCTATAAGACTATGGTGTCCACCGTCAAAAAAAATCATAAAAATCGTCGAAGAATATTTTTTAACACTTTATTACAAGAAAACGGCCCGGCCGATCTTTACCGAAAACTAATCAGCACGATTCCCAACCAGTATCTTTCAAACGGTTTTTGAATTATCAAAATCAAATCAGAATTGCGGCTAAAGCGTGGACGAAAATTTTTTCACTATTCTGCTATTTATAAAAACGGCTTGGCCGATCGTTGCACAAAACTTATAAACGCTAGTCCTCCTCATCGAGATACATCGATTCGCTTTTAAAAGTATATGTTATTGAAAGTCCATGAACCGAAGATGGGTAAAAACGATTGAGACTGGTTATAATATCATTACATAAATAATTATCATTAAAACAAAACCAAATGTCATTTTAGTTTTATATATTTCACTGCTTATTTTATAACTTCAAATTTTAGGTAGACTTTACAATAATTTATAATGAGGGAATGCATCTATTCACACGTTGGCCAAGCTGTAGTCCAGATAGGGAACGCGACATGGGAACTTTACTGTCTTGAAGACGGTGTTGAACCGAATGGCATATTAGCTAATCCTAGTAAAAGATCGAATTGGCAAGCAGACAGAATATAATGCTATATCCCATTCTTCAATGAAAGTGTCATTGGTCAATTGGTCCCAAGGAGCATTATGGTTGACCTGGAGCCAACGGCTATCGATGAAGTTTAGGTAGGAACCTATGAAAACCTTCTCAGAATAGATAACTTGATAACTGCTAAAGAAGATGCTGCCAGTCACTACGCTCGTGGTCACTATTCAATCGGAAGAGATGTCAAAAATGTTATGCTTTGCGTGCGCCGGCTCAACTGAACAATGTACATGTGTGCAAGGTTTCTTTGTATTTCATTCATTTGGAGGTGGTACTGAATCTGGCTTTTCATCGTTGTTAATACAAAAACTCCCTGACACCTACCACAAGAAATGTAAGTTACAAGTAGCAGTATATCCAGCTCTGCAGGTGTCAACGGCTGTTGTAGAATCCCACCATGCCATTTTAATCACACATGCAACTATTGCAGCAGCAGATGTAGCATTTATGGTTGATAACGAAGCTATTTATGATATTTGTCGGACCAAATTAGGAATTGAACGACCCCGCTACACTAATTTAAATCGTTTGATCAGTCAAGTGGTTTCATGAATTACTGCTTCTTTTTGTTTTAATGGATAATTAAACGTCGATTTAGGTGAATTTCAGACAAATTTTGAACCGGTACCGAAAATTTACTTTTCTAGACTATGCATCAATTGTTTTAGTAAATGAATCTCAGTATGAAGTTTCAAGTGTCAACGAGATCACAATTCAATTGTTTAAGAATTTTAATCAAATAGTAAAATGCGATACAAAAAGAGGTAAATATATTGGTTGCTGTATGTTCTATCGTGGAGATGTCGTGTCAAAAGATGAAAAAGCTGTCATAACTATTCTTTCAGAAAAAATGCATAAAATTTGTTGAATGGTGCCCTCCGGTTTTAAAGTTGTCTAAATAATCGGCCTCCAAGGGATGTATCGATGTTATAAAAAAATTCGAGCAAATTGAAGAACAAAGATCTGATGTATGCAAAAAGAGCATTTGTACACTAGTACATCAACAAAGGGATGGAAGAAATAGCATTTAACGAAGCCCAAAATGATCTCTCGGCATTAGAGAAGATTACAATCTAACGATTCCATAGATGAATTTGATTTGACTATCAGACAA